AAGGGACTGCAAGTCCTCAGAAGGAGCCAAATCTGTTTTGTCAGACAATGGAGGATTTTCTGAAGCTTCATTCTAACAACAGAGCACATTAGGAAAAACACAGTTCTGGGATTTAAAACAAACTTTGCACAGAGTTTAACTGAGAGAAAGAAAAGGTTTAAAAAGACCTTGAGGATGTTTTTGGAGAAAATGAAAGTGGGTTCACAGTATCGTGAACATCTTGGGGAGTGGGTGGAAGTACCAGATTGAGATGTCTCTATATATACACATTTATTTATATATACACACACATTTATATCTATATACTGATATATGTAGCTCAGTAAAAGCTGGTGCACTTCAGAAGCTCGTTCTCAAGAAGTTCTACATAAATATATCCCAGTGCTTACCCGATTTTGTTGGGCTTCAAGCCCTCAGAGAAACTGTGGTTTCCCCACACAGAAAAAGTAATTTCTGCTCCCCTAAACCTCCCTAAGGTGCCGTGGATGTCTGTTCCTTCAGTCCAGAGGAGGACATGGGAAGGGGGGTCCTCCCTCACACAGCACTGCTCACCTCCATCTTTTTGCTTTTATTTCTATTTTTGTCTGCTTCTTGCGAGTTGCTCGCCATGGCTGCCTCACGAAAAGCACGAGATGTTTGCTGAGAGGTCACGCTGGGAAGAATGTTTAAATAAAAACCTGTAAAACCTGCAGCTGGTTTCTCTGCAGGGGCGCTCCTCTCACGGGGGAGGCAGCGCCTCAAAGGGCTGGAGGTGGCGGGGGAATGGCGGGGAGTCCCGGGCCGGCCTAAATTCGATATCCGAGGGGATTTAAATTCGATATCCCAGGGGATTTAAATTCGATATCCGATGGGATTTAAATTCGATATCCGAGGGGATTTAAACCTTTCTGATCCCCCCCAGAGCCTGAGGGCACCGAGGCGCCCAGGACGCCCCGGCCTCGCCGCTTCCCCTTCAGGCAGGCGGGCAATGGCCGTGACGGGTCGCGACTGTGGCGACAAGGGAAAGGGGACAAGGGACGACAAATAAGCGACAAGAAAGGACACAAGGGACGCAAGGGACACCCGCTCCCCTCAGGGCTGGCAGCACCTCGGTGCCACCCTCGGTGGCAGCGGCAGGAGCGGCCCGAGGCGCGCCCTGAGGGCCCAGAGAGCGGCTCCGGCCCGGGCCGTTCGATTAATTAAAACTTTGAGAAGTTCCTCAAATTTCCCGTCAAATTTCACCTTCTCAACGAAATCCTTGGAACGCGTCTCACGCGCCATGGATCTGCCTCAAAAAACGAGCGAGAAATGAGCGCAGTTGGAGCGACCAGGCACTAAAATGAGTAAAAACGCTAAAATTACTAACAGCACGAAAATGAGTAAAATCTAAAAACGCATAAAAACACTAAAATGAGTAACACTAAAATGGTTAACACCACCACAACACAGGGCTGCCAAGACCATATTTTCTCTCTCTCTCTAATAAGCGGAGAATAAAATTGTAGATTTCCCGAGGCTGTGCTTCACTGCTGTAGGTGAACCAAGTCTTTGTTCACTGGACCAAAATACATCATTGCATGATGGGAATTTATGATTATGTTATGCTATATTATGTGTCTTAATTATGATATATTAAAGTTATGGCATGTAAGGTTATGTACAGTTTGCCTCTGACTTGTGCTTTTTTCCTTTTTTTCTTTTCTTCCTTTTTCTATTTTCTCTTTTGAAGACAGGAAAGGACCTGAATCTCACATACATCATCCACAGAAGAAATTAAAATATCAGCATGAGAAATCAAACTCCTGAAGGAACAAGACCTAAATACTTCCTCAAAGTAAAAACAACTTTTAATAAGCAGCCATAGCCCACTTCATTTAATAATCAGATATCTCATATATAATTATGTTATAAGCATTACTATCAAAACATTCATAAACAGATATGACAGAACATGTTAGGAAAATATTCTTAAGATGTTCATTGTGTCATGGTAATAGCTTTTACTAATAGACCACCTGGAGTAAAACAAATTACACATCTGAATTTTCATTTCCATTTTCTTATGGATATAATAGTCTATAAATAAAACTAGGACTAAAAGTAACATTAAAACATTTAAAAGAAAATTATCTAAGAGGAGAGAGTTCACTCTTACTGGAGTTGCAGTTCCTTTCAAACTGGAGCAAAATGATCGAAACCATTACTCTAAAAGTAGTTGCAGTTCCTCTAAAATTGGAGATATTAAATTCCAGGAGAAATGAAAAGTCTAAACTGTACCACAAAAGCCATTGTATGAGTTAGATCTGGTCCTGAAAAATGCAAATATGTGCACAAAGGATAAGGAAATGCCTTTTATTCAATGTGCTCAGTGAACTAATGGAATTTTAAGGCTCTCAAAGTCTGACATGAAAGACAAAGTCCTTCTTCCTGATAGCTTTGTATGGAATATCAATTGGCCAAAAATATCAGTGCCAACAGCTAATACAAAATAAATAATTATCTGAATGTATATTTAAACTGAAATGATGAATTAGTAGTACAGCATTAATTTTTGAAAAATGTTTTTGGCTAGACCAGCCAAAATCCAGGGTTATTAGTAAAATAGGCAGCTTTTAATCTCAAAACCACCTCATGTTTATCATACAGATATTAAAGCATCCCTGTAAAGTTTGGTGGTTTTTTTGTTTTTGCCCCCAGGAGCAGTAAAAGGCATGTGAGCAGCTGAGAGAATGTCCTGGAAACTCAGGTTTGGGTTTGATGTGGGATTTTGTGGGGGTGTTTTTATAATCCTCACAAGCTGGGGCTCTTCAGTTTACCCCCCAAGCTGCAGGGCTGAGTGCCCTGAATTGTGACCAGCCACAGAAACAGCAAATCCAGGCACGGAGACGTAACAAACTGGGGGGGACTTTATGGTGCTCGTATCCCCAATTCTCTGTTTAGCCCAGAAATAACCACCTTTAAGGCTGGTTCTGAGAGCGGAGGGGGGAGAGAAGAAACGCAGAGATTATTTTCAGAATTTGCACTCCTCCACATTCCGGCTCCTGGACTGTGCTGTCTGCAGCACGGACAGACAGCAGGACAGAGCTCTCCTTTGTTTTCTGTCACTTTTTTAGCTATCTGAGGGAGAGGAATTCCATGGAATGTGGTTTTTCTTTTTCTTCAGAACTATTTAAACACGCTCTGGATTCAACAGCCAGAACAGCTATAGCCCACCAGGCTGGGCCTGGGTAGCAGCATTTCCAGCACCGGGGGGACTGATAAGACACTGATAAGACACTGATAAGACACTGACAAGAGACTGAGTGAGTCAAGCTACAGCCCACAGAGAAACTTCCTGAGTTTGTCATCTCTTTTGGAGTAGCAAGTTTTATTGTTTAATATTGTTCATATTATGTGCTAGCGAATGCTTTGCCTGTTAAATAAACTTTTTTTCCCACTTTTCTCCAAATAAATATTTTTTCCCAAACCAAAAAGGAGAAAGGCCACTTAAATTTGCTTTCTAGAGAAAACCCGTTCAGAGGTTTTCCCCCAGATTTGCCCTAAACCAAGACATTGGGCAATAATTCGTTCCCCAGCCGGCTGCCCGGGTTTTAGGGCAGTGGCAGCGCTCCTCCCGAAGGCAGCGGGACGCGGACGGGGCGCTCTCCCCGTCCATGAACTCCTCCCACGCGGCCGCTCCTGCACTCGGGGACATTTCCCCGCCCAGGCCGGCGTTCCTGGGCGCTGCTGCCACCAGCAGAGGAGCAGCAGCAGCGCCGGGAATCCATCCCGAAGCGGCTTTTCCGACAGACAGGGAGCCGGCAGGCACACAGAGTGCTGGAGCCACGGGACGAGCCCGCTGACATCAGCGCGACACCGAGCGAGCGGCACAAAGCCACCCTCGGAACCCCAGATTTGCATAAGGCGCTGGCTCCTGCAGCGAGGAGGGGAAATGTCGTGCGAGAAATGCGGACGTAGGCACAGACCTTGGGAAAACGTCCCGATTTCGGCCGCCCCGGCCGCTATAAAACCCCTCCCGGCAGCGCTGCGGCAGCGCCGGCCTCCCTCCGGCTGGGGCAGCCCCGGGCACTGACCCGGGCCGGCCTTGGCACAGCTGCGATCCTCACCCGGCAGCTCCGCTCCTCCCGGCTCCCATCGCCCGGCTGCAGCTCCCCGGGGGACAGAAGGGGCCACCGAGAGCCAGAAAGGGCCACCGAGAGCCAGAAAGGACCACCGAGAGCCACCTCTGCTCCCGTCCTGCATCCTGCGCTTCTCCCGGCTCCCATCGCCCGGCTGCAGCTCCCCGGGGGACAGAAGGGGCCACCGAGAGCCAGAAAGGACCACCGAGAGCCACCTCTGCTCCCGTCCTGCATCCTGCGCTTCTCCCGGCTCCCATCGCCCGGCTGCAGCTCCCCGGGGACAGAACGGGCCACCGAGAGCCAGAAAGGGCCACCGAGAGCCACCTCTGCTCCCACCCTGCATCTTGCACTTCTCCTGTCTCCCATCGCCCAGCTTCAGCTCCTCAGGAGTCAGAAAGGACTCCCGAGGAGCCGGAAAGGACCATCGAGAGCCAAAAAGCACCACTGAGAGCCAGAAAGCACCACTGAGAGCCAGAAAGGACCACTGAGAGCCAGAAAGGATCACCGGGAGCCAGAAAGCACCACTGAGAGCCACATCTGCTCCCATCCTGCATCCTGCTCTTCTCCCTGCTCCCATCGCCCGGCTGCAGCTCCAGAGGAGACCGAAAGGACTCCCGAAGAGCCAGAAAGGGCCACCAAGAGCCACCGCCCTTGCACCCTGCGCTTCTCCTGGCTCTCATCGCTCTGCTGCGCTTCCCGAAGAGCCAGAAAGGATAACCGAGAGCCAGAAAGGACCACCGAGAGCCAGAAAGGACCACTGAGAGCCAGAAAGGGCCACCGAGAGCCAGAAAGGGCCACCGAGAGCCACCTCTGCTCCCATCCTGCATCCTGTGCTTCTCCCGGCTCCCATCGCCCGGCTGCAGCTCCCCGGGAGCCAGAAAGGACCACCGATAGCCAGAAAGAACCACTGAGAGCCAGAAAGGATCACTGAGAGCCAGAAAGGACCACCGAGAGCCAGAAAGGACCACCGATAGCCAGAAAGGACCACTGAGAGCCAGAAAGGATCACCGAGAACCAGAAAGGGCCACCGAGAGCCAGAAAGGGCCACCGAGAGCCACCTCTGCTCCCGCCCCGCATCCCTGCGGCCTCCCGGGGTGAGTCAGTCCACGACCGAGTCAGGAACTCCTTGGAGCTCCTTCCTTTCGAAGGGTAATCTGAAAACGGTCCTCGGTAAAAGGTCTAAACAAGCATCTTTTATTACTCAGGGCTGGGTTTTATGATCCTGGCGTTGGTCTTTTCCAACGGTTTTGATTCTGTGATCAAGGGGAGAGGCACAGTCGGTTTTTTTTGACCCATTAAACCAAGGGCCACTTTTTCCTTTAGTCCTCTGCCTCTGCTTGTCCCTGGGTTTTTTTCCTCTGAAAAACAGAGGATTTTGAGGTTAATGTGCTAAGAATGAGACGTGCGCGGTTGGGTGTTGTGGTGTCTCGTTTCCAAGGTGTGAATGTGCACGTTTGCAAACAAAGATGCTGCTGGGAGCCTGCTGTCTCTTCTGCACAGCTGCAGCTACATAAAAACCATATGAAATACAGAGAAAAAAATCACTCTTTAAAAAACATCATTGATTAAAGTGCTTTGCTACAGGGACAGAGAAAACCACAGTGATTCCCACCCTAATCCCTCTGGGTGTGCATGTTTACTTATGTTTATATTGCTCACTTTTTGTATAAAAGGTCATTTTCATCTGGTGAAAAAGCTTTGGAGTGAGCTGCGTGTTTTGATTGCACAATCAAATCCCCGTGCAAGAGGCAGATCTCCCCATTGTTCGCCTGGTTTTAAGACATTTATTATCTTTAGTGCAAGGGATGACCTGCCTAGGGGCAGTCAGAAATGGGTTCTAACTTTGGGGTATTTTGGAAGCTGATGCTTTTCTAGGGGAAAACTGGTAAGATCAGTGTGTGCAGACGTAGCTTTTATCCCTTTATGGGGTAAGAAGCATCGGGGTTAACTCTGATTCCTCTCCCTGTGCTGTGGGCAGGGTGAAGATGAGTGCCAAAGAGATTCTGGTGTATGCAGTAGAACTTGGAAAAAATTTCTGCCTCTATTTTGAAGGTAATTAGAGCATTTGATGACCTTTTCTGTTTGAATACTGATTTAACACAATTCCTTTGTCAGTCTGATTTCACCTCATTTCCCACATAAGCTTCAGTTTTAAGTGTTGCTAGCCAAGTGGCTGAGTCAGGGCAATACTTGTTTACAAAAAGCTCTGGGAAAGGACGCTCAGAAGCGTTGGACCTGGAGTGAGTGAGTAATTCCCGATCTTGAGGAAAAAAGTCAGTTGGGAAACAGTTTATTCTTTAAAAGCAATTTGCAATGAGTCAAGCTCACTTGAAGGCACCGATAAAACCAAAAATTTGCATGCAGTTATTCCTCAGTTTTAGGCTCAGAGTGACCTTCTCACCCTTAAATAACCCTAAAAAAGCATTTTGCATACCTCTGGTTTGGTGGTGACTCAGTTCTCAAATGACTGGGCTGTCATTTGTTTTGCTGACAGATAAATCCTGTCTGTAGTGAGCAGCTCAGCCTTGGTGGCACTGGGAACGTGTAGGTGGCTGCCTGGGCACAAAGTGACTTCTTGTGCGGGGGCAGAGCTTAATGTTGTTTTTCTTTCCTTTTTTTCACTGCTCGCTTGGAACCAAGACGACGATGGTAAGCTGAGAACTCATCTTTTATGGCTTTGTTACTCATTTCATACCTGCTAATCCAGAGAGGACAAGTTTCACGCTGAGAGTGGCTGCAAAAAACACAGAGCTACAGCTCATTACTTGTGGTGCTGACGTTGCTTTGATTCCTCTTAAAACACAGGGTGGTGGCTTCCCTGACAGCACCTTTCAATGCACTTTAATTGCTGGGCAGAAGAGAGCTGATGCTTCTGAATTCTCATTAGCAAACACAGCTTTTCTTAGAAATAAAATATCTATAAATAATTTTACATAAATAAATTTCTGCTATAAATAAATTTCTGTTATAAATAAATTTCTGCTTATATAACTAAATTTCGGATTCTGGAAATCTGCTTCAAGCAGAGGTGTAAAAGATGATGAGTTTGACGTCATTCTCAGAACTCCTTTCACGTGACATCCACAATGCCAGGATTAACTGTCAGGATGTGAGGAGACAACAGCTAAAATGTGCAGGATTTTGGTTGATTCTTCCTGCAGAGCTGGAGTGTGATGCCCTGTGCAAGGAAAAGACCCTGCACCGAGTGCTGAGGAACGTGAACAGCCAGCTGCTGGTGGTGCGCCCCGACCTGAACGTGGCGGCCTTTGAGGACGTGACAGACCAGGAGATGCAATCTGGTAATTTCCAAACAAGCACAAACCATCCCACGGCTCTGCTGCTGTATCCTGGAGGTGGTTTTGTTCTTTGTGATCATCCACTCAGCGATGGGACTGAGGCGAACGACTTAAAACTTCCTTTGAAAGAAGAAAACTAAGCTGAGAGTGAAATTTTGTGTCTTGGGCATTGGTGAATGTCACATGCAGGAAAAGTGCTGTTAAGATTTTTGCTTGGCTCTGATCACAAAATTCTTAATTTCCCCCTTTTTTATGTAGGATTACAAAAAATCACTTTAAAATTCAAACAGTTTATTGGCACTAAAAGGTCTTACTTTCTTCTAATAATACTAGCGATAAACTTACAGTTTTGGCTTTGACTTCTTGGGGTGCTTCAGCAATTTATTTACAACTGTGTTTATTGCCCATATGTATTTCTGGATCACGTGCATCCAGCCATGCTCTGATTTACAGACAGTCAGTTCCACGTGCCAGTCTCAGTTCCTGCATGCACATGAAAGGGTCTGACCCTGCCTGGTGACCTTGGTGCACCCTGGTTATTGCCTGATTGCATAAAGGACAACCAGAAGCCATAAAAATTCAGGTCCTGGCTCTTCTGTCAGGAAGAACACCCTGGTGAGCCAGCCAGAGCTGCCAGGGGAATGGCAAAGCATCACTTGCAGCTCCCTTGGAGCAGGTTATCAGCAATAACCCATCTCTTTCCAGGCAAGGGGATGCATTTCAGCATCCACTGCTACAAAACCACCACGCCCTTAGCTGGGCTGCCCGTGGCCTTCAGTGTCCAAGTGGAAAACAAGAGTTACTACATGTGCTGTGAGAGGGAATGTGGGAAAATGATCGTCAGGTTCAAGGTAAGGATCCGCTGCCCTCTCCTCATCTGCACAAACCCAACAGGCACAATTAACAACTCAGAGCTGCAATGAAATGCTCAGGGCTCCTGCTGGGATTAACCTGCTCCCTTTTTCCCTCCTCAGGAAGGAGAAGTGCCCAAAGAAATTCCTGGTGAAAGCAACTTCATCTTTTTCAAAAAGACATTTACATCTTGCTGCTCCCAAGCATTTAAGTTTGAATACTCCATGGAGCAGGGAATGTTCTTGGCCTTTGAGGAAGAAGGCTACTTGAGAAAATTAATCCTTAAGAAACTGTCAGAAGATGAAGTGGATGAAACCATGAAGATAAGTTTATGTAAGTTCAGTCAAAATGAAAATCACAACCTATGATGGAACACTTCAACAGTTTTAAAATACAGTTTCTTTTTTTATATAAAATAAACTTTTGTCTTTCTTTATCCTAAACAAGTCAGTTTTATGTTTTAACTACTGTCAGTACTCATTAAAAAAATAAATGCAAGTTTTTGGCAAAAGGCCAAGCATGTTTTCCAGACAGACAGAAGAGAAATACACACTGAAGAAACAAGAATATCTATAATGTCAATATAGTCCTATAGAATTTGATCCCTAAAATCTTTAATGCCTAAATCCTTAAAATCTTTAACATCAACCCAACAGCTTTTGCATTAGGTTTGGACTTCTACATTGCCAAACCTCTCCGATAATGAATTTCCCACCCAAACAGCCTAACCACCACATCCAGCTGCATCCTGTGTGAGGAAATCTCAGCCACTTTCCATGAGAGACCCTCAGCTTGCCCAGAGGGACTTCCCCATGACTCACCATCTGCCTGCTGCTCCTCCTGGCTCTGAAGTACCACACGCCGGCATTTAAACCAGCCCACAGCTCCATCCTGGCCACAACACCATCAAAAAAATGGCCAGCTACCTGCTTTTGCTAATAAATACAATTTCCACTCCACATTAAAAAGAAAAAAACCCTCAAAGTCTTGCAGAATCCAAACAGTGACTCGGTTGTTCTGTTCATTGCAGAGTCACCGATGGTAACACAAATTCTCTTCCTCTCACTATTAATAGTGCCACAAAAGTACCATGAGAGTGTGGAAAGTGTTCTCCACTCCTTGGCAATGTGAAAGTCAGACAGGATGAAGCAAAAGTTAAAAACCACAATCTCAGTTCCCCCCTAAAAAATCCCTTAAAGAACAGAACATTCCCTCAGCCTCCTCTTCATCGTCTTTTCTGTCACACAGGACAAGAGAGTATTTAGAAAATAAACCTCAAAAAAGAACATAAAAACCTTAAAAGTCAAATGTTCCTAAAGTCAATCTGCAGAAGTATTTTTATTCTTGCTGTGTTTTCTAAGGGACATTAATTATCCTTGTGTTAAGTCAAGTCTAAGTCACCTCTAAGTATTAATTCATACAAATATTCTTCATTTTATGAAGTAAGGCAGAGCAGACCTATCAGCAGAGAAAACATTTCAGGCAACCCAAAGCAGTAAAAATGGTTCAGAAGCACACACAAAATTTCTGTAAATTCTTTATTGCATGGAATCTGAAAAAAAGAATTCCCTTTTCTACATCAGCTCCCAGGGTCCAAAGAGTTACAGGGTCTGCCTTACACACTGATGTCAGAAGAAACAGTTCAGTTTTCCACAAGGCAAGCTTGTTTTACAGAACAGGAAACCAACCAACAGTTAGAAAAACACTCATTAAAGCTGCTGTTACAAGGAGAGCTCCCTTTAGCTACGCAAACCTGCCACTGATGTAATTCACTCTTCCATCCCTCCCAATTTACAGTGCAGCTTGAATCCACTCATCTCACTGGACATCTTCCAGTTAAATCTGAATTTAAACCTGTTTTTTTTTCTCTATATATCCTAAACTAGCTGTGAGCCCCCTGCAGGCTCACTGGGGACCCTTGGCTGCTCCTGTGGGGTGCAGGATGTTGCTCACAAGCTGGTGAAGCAGAGGCAGCAGAGGACAATCGTGTGTGTCGGGGCTGGGGCTCCTCAGAGGCTCCAGAGCATGGCCACAGCCTTGCAGATGCCCACGTCGTGGTAGTTGAAGTGGCAGAGGCCAGCGAAGGTCAGGGCAGACAGGACGTACAGCCCCGTGTTGGCCACTTTAATGGGGACATCTCCGTGCACATAATCAGTAATGACCTGGCCCAGACCCCTAAACGAGAGAGAAAAGCTCAAATCAGCAAAGGTCACTCACTGAAATCCATCCTCTTGGTGCCCCCCGTTCTGCCAGCTGGGCTTTTTCCCCCTGCTGCCATCAGCCTTTCCTGCAGAATGCTCAGTTCCCACACAGAAAGAGGAAAAATCTATTTCAAAAACAAACCAAAACATTCCAGATTCTATTGAAAATACACAGACTGGCTCAGAGTTTTCCTGAGGAAAACAAGCGCTGACCACAGCTCTCCAAACAGAATCCTTGGATCTGCCTTCTTATCTGACTTCCAAGGACTGGAAAAGAGGAAAAGCAAGGAAATATCTGGGACCAGCCATTGTCACAAAGACACAGAACACTCCTGGGTACTCATTTAGATTAGAAGAGTGGCAACCAAAGAAATTAGTATATTTTTAGTTTTTTCTACATCTGGAAGTGAACTGCTGTCCAGATTTGAACTATCCAGCAACACGAGACACGGGATGCTTGTTTTGGGAAAAAGCTCCCAGTCAGAGCAAGGACAGTGCAAGAATCCCTGGCACAAATTCCTCAGGGCAAAACTGAGCTTTAAGAAAACCTGGCACCCCCAAAGTACCACAAAAATCTGCTTTATCCTTGTGGCAAGGAACTCCCAAACCAGGATCACCTCAGGAAGGTGGGAGCTGCCAGCCTGGCCAACCACGTAGCTGGATCCACTCCTAATTAGCCCTGTCCCTGCTCTCATTAAGGATCGCAGCAGAACTACACTGAGCAAACATCCATCCAGGAATAAAGGAAACAATCATCCAGGTCTCCTTAGTGGAATATTTGCAGTGAGCTCTTTATGATGCAGAACCACTGAGATGGATGAGATGACCATCTCATCACCACTGAGATGTACAAAGCCACTGCACGGAGCTTTAGAGGCAGAATATTTTTGTATTATTTTTATACAGATCTGTCCTCTTTCTGTTCCCTCTGTTCACACAACACTGGTTCTTGCACGGGCTAAAAACCTCCAGGATTCTGCACCTCCAGGGGCAAGGAAATGCTCTTAAGGTTAAGATTTTATGGATTCTTTTTCTGACTGAGAGGACAGTGTGAGAAAGGAAGACCAAAGTACAGCCACTCCTGCCACCGAAGGCAGAAACCAAGGACTTTTTCCTTGTTTTGCACTAGCCCAGGATGAGGTTTGGAGGCACCAAAGCTCCTTGGCTGCGAGCTGAGCCCTGCTGTGCTTACCAGTGGCCGTGCAGGGTGAGGGCAGCAGCCAGGGAATAGTCCACAGCTGGTCCAGGGCACAGGTAGGCTGCGGGGAGCAGCCCCAGCAGCAGCACACTGACCGCGCGCTCCCCTGTCCAGTGCAGAGATGCAGCCTTGGAACCGCCTGCAGGGAGAGACATCCTCAGGGAAAAGCCCCTCTGCCAAGGGCTCTGCAGCCCTTGCACGGCTGGCTTGGATGGCTGTCACATCTGGGGAGTTTGCAAACCAAAACTCTGCTTGAGCAATGCTTGGCAACACAACGGGAGCATCGGCCCAGGCTGAGACCATCAAGAATTGACTCTGTGAAATTATCAATGCAACACCCCCAAAGTGCTCAACTAACACACAGGTATCATCACCTAAACCAAAATGCAAATGATTTCCTTCGTTTTGGCACGGAGAAAAGAAATTTAGAAAGCAACAAGACAAGGAAAGCAAAGGATCTGAAGTTTGGACTTGGGCAAAGAGCAACCTGAAGTGCTATTAACTGGTAACAGAGCTGCTGAAGGGGAGGGTACACACTCCTCACAGCCTGAGGCACCACAACTGCACCATTATTTACCACAAATAACATCTCTGCACGGTTACTGCCCTACCTAACAACGCTCAGCATTTCACAGCTTTTCCCTTAAACCAACGGGAATTTAGGATTGTTTTTTCCTTTGCTGGTAACACCCCTAACTGTACATCACACAACAGGACACCAAGAAAACCACTGCACCATGTGTAAATATCTTTTGTTCTTTGTTACAGCTGCCAGTTAAAATCTCCTAGAGTGGCCCAAAAAAATGATAGACTCAGCCTGGTTAGGGATGGGAGGGACCTTAAAGCTCATCTTGTTTTAAGTCCCTGTATGGCCATCAGGTACTATCTCTGTCACCTCTGTTCGTGCACCACTGTTGGTGCCTTGAAGGACCCAAAGCAGCCAAAATCTGGTCCTTTACAGCCCATTCTTGGCAGAATCACAGAATTTTGAGAAGCCGGAATAGACCTGAAGGATCACCGAACCCCAACGCCTGCCATGGGCAGGATGCCTTGAGATAGACCCGGGTGCTCGGGTTCAGCAGGGATGGGAAAAGGGGTCCCGATCCCGGGGAAACGAGACCCCCGCACACCAGCACGGACAGACAGACAGACACACAGACAGGGCCGTACCGTGTCCCTGGCGGGGCGGGCCGTGGCTCTCGCGGGCCGGAGCGCAGCGGGCGGCGGCGGCACCGAGCGCGGCGGGGCGGCGGAGCAGGGCCGAGCCCAGCAGAGCTGCGGGGACAACGGGGGAGCGGCGTGAGAGCCCCGCACCCTCCGGGGACCCGGAGCCGCCAGGAACCCGCACCCTCCGGGGACCCGGAGCCGCCAGGAACCCGTATCCTCTGAGGGCCATGAGTCACCTGGATGCCGCACCCTCCGGGGACCCGCAGCTACCAGGATCCCGCACCCTTCGGAACTCCGCTACCTCCGGAGCCTCGCTCCCTCCAGGATCCCGCACCCCCCGGGTCCCGCTCCCTCGGGGTCCCGCTCCCTCCCCGCCCCGCTCCCTCCGGGTCCCGCTCCCCGCCCCGCCGCCCCGGCCTCACTGACCCAGGGCGGCCCCGCGGGGCCGCGGCCGCAGCAGCGCCAGCGCCATGTCCGCTCCAAGGGCACCGCGCCCGGACCCGGAACCGCGCCCGAGCTTCCGCCGCCGCTTCCGCCTCCGGGGCACCGGCACGGCCCGGAGCGATCGCGGAGCTCCGCGGGGAGGGTGCGAACGCCAGAGGCGGCCGTGGTGGGATCCGGGCAGGAATCCTCCGCTGTGAGGGCGGGCAGGCCCTGGCACCGCTGCCCAGAGGAGCTGTGGCTGCCCCATCGCTGGAAGCGCCCAAGGACAGGCTGGAGCATCCTGGTGGAAGGTGTGATGCTCAGGGAACTGGAATATCCCTAAATTCCCTTCCAGCCCGAACCAATCTGTAATTCTGTCTTAAACCCCGCAACAGACCCAGGTGCTCCTTATCGGTGTGTTCACTAGTGCAACAGCTTGGTACACACCATAAACACATCCATGAATATCCTGTTTTTCTTTCCGTTTGGAGGGGAAAAAGGAACAGCAGTCACGGCTTGGAGTGAGGATTTAGGGCCGCTGGCACTGTTTTGTGCTTGTCCAGGAGACAACAATCACCCCACACATTCCCCATTGCCCTGATTTCATCTCCTGCAAGTGTGGTCAGGCAGCAACAAACAGCACAGAGAGAACACAGGCACCACCCAGACTCGCAGGCCTGTGCTCTGGCCCCGGGCTTTGCTCCAGAACAATGACTAAAGCATCAAACACATCTGGATTTATTTGTTTTATTAAAAGGCTTGGCTGTTCGCTGCAGGGAGAACGGCCTGGTACCAGTTTCTCCAGTAACACACTGGGCACAGCAGAGACAGGACACAACACCCACCACGGCCCCTCTGTCAGCACAAATGCTTTCAGCATCCCCACAGAGGAGGAAGGAAGGTGGACACGGTGGCCAGCCCACAGCAGGCTCTGGACAGGAGTCTAAACCAAGCAAACTGCTGGCTTTTTTCACCATTAGAGAAGTAGTCACTGCCCTTCAGCTGGAATGGGAATATTCCCTCAGTTCCCCTCCGTGTCCAGCTGACCCTGTGCACGCCCCCATATGCTTTTGGTGGAGGATGGGAAGACAAAACTGCCGTGGGGGTTACAGTGACATTTCCTCTGCTACCAGCCTGATTTACCAGCCTGTCCTGTCTCCTACTGGCCATTGTTTTGGTGAGCCAAAGAGCAATCTGTTCAAACATAATTTCAGAAACAAAACAACCTGATCACAGCCAAGCTGGCGGGATGAGCCCACCTGTGGGGCAGGTAGGTGCTGTCCTGCAGTGCTGCCTGGCGAGCCCTGCTCCCTGTGGGCTGGCAGCGTGCGTGTAAACCAGTGTTGGAGCAGTGCTGAGTGCCACAGAGCTGCCTGTGCCCTCCCCTCCTGCTCTGAGCTGCACCCAGACCCCTCAGTCCTCATCAGAGCTGTCCTCAGACTTCTCATCCCCCGCCACCTTCCAGTTCTTCCTCTTGCTCCTCTTCTCGGGCACCTCGCTCGGCCTCTCGGGCACGGAGCTGTGCCGCTTCTTCCTCTTCCTTGGGGGCCGCTTCTCCTTCCTCCCCTCGGACTCAGTGTCCTCAGAGCTGCTGGTGCTGGAGCTGCTTGCATGGCAAAAGTCACTCTCCTGCCCAGAAGAAGAGGTAGGTTCCTTGGCAGGCACTTTCCTGGGCTTTTTCTTGCGCTTGTGTTTTCCTCTGCGGGCGCTCGGAGTCTCCTCTCCTGAGCCCTCGCTCTCCCCCCGGGAGGAATCTGTGGAACTTCTCTCCTGCTCCTTTTTCTTTTTCTTCCTCTTTTTGTGCGAGCGCTTTTTTTGCTTCTTCTTGTGGGATTTCTTGTTTTTTTTCCTTTTGTGGGACTCACGGGCTGTTTGCTTCCCCAGGTGGGATCTCTTCTTCCCATTGACAGCATTTTGCTCCTCTCCTTCCTGCTGATCACTGGAAAAAGAACAGGAGGAGGTGAACTGGAAGCCACTGAGTGATGAAACTCATTTACATCCAATCTGTAAGCCTGAAAAATATTGATGATTCTGCTGGGTGTAGGTTAAAAATAATTAATTCTTAAAATCTTGTTTTTCCACTGTCCAGGATGCTGCAAGAATTTATTTACCTCCCAAACTCATCGATTTTGGTAACTCCAGCTAAACATGAATGTCTTAATTAATACAAAAGATTCTCTGAAGACTCACACCATGTTAATGGATTTGAGTTTAACAGTAAGGCTTTGCAGTCAAGGTTGATTTGTATTCAAAATTCAAAACTCAGTTTGTAAAATTCCCTGCAGAACTTGTCAGAAGGCAGATTCTGGATCCATCAGTAAAGGTGTCTGCCTTACCTGTCTGTGTCAAATTCTTCAGGGTACAACTCTTTGTATCCACTGTGCCCCCACCTGTAAGAAAGCAGAACCATCCATTAAAAACAGACAATGTGTTTGATGATTAAAATGCAATTCTGAAAAGGCAGAGCCACAGAATGAATCTGAGTTTAGACAGGAAGGAAATAGGACTGATTTGCTTGGTGCTATTTAAATACACCTTATATTCTCAAAGCACAACTCTGATTCCTTTAAATCCAACCCTGGAATGGTGTTTCTTGAGATTTCTTTAAGCTTATTGGGCAGAGTAATAAATATTAAGCTTAGGGCTGGGCTTTTGCTGCTTAGTGTGTCTTAGAAACTCCACAGATGAGCTCAAATTGGTTATTCTGTGACATGGCAGAAGTTTGTACATGTTAATAATTCTCAAAATGAGCTGAAGCTCTATTTCATCACAGCACACACCAAACAGAAACGTGTCATTTTTTTGTACAGGGCTCCAAAAAGATGTTTTAATCACAACCCCAGAACGCAGAACTCCCCCACACACCTGTCTGGCATGTTGGCTTCACATTCATACAGCTTTTTATTCCAGGATCTGGCCCTGAGGAGATCGTCTTCCACCAGGTCAAGGAGCTGTGGGTTCCTGGGTTTCCAGTCTGCCCTGTGCCCCTCCTCGTCGAAGCCGTCGCTGCGCATGCGGCTGCTGGAGAGGGAACGGCTCCTTCAGGTGGGGAGCACCTCCCAGAGCCCCCCAAAACCCCCAGAGCCCCCTCATTCACCCCCTCATTCACCCAGCACCTCCAGCATGTCACATCTCCATGAACACACTGAGATCAGGCTCAAGCAGAGGCCTGAGCTCTTTGCAGGGAGTCGTTAAGAAAATCAATATTTCTGTGGTGTATCTCACCTGGAGGTGTCTGACAGCATTCTGCTCTGCCTTTTCCAGTAAGTCTCTTCTGTCTGCTTCTCCCACTCCCTTATTTTCCACATTTCTGTCTCTTCCTGAAGCTGAAAGTCACAGGAAGGGAAATGAGTTGAACATCATGGGAAATTCACAGTTATGCAGCACCCACCTCAACACTCCTGGTAAGGAAACTCACAGCCACCTTTCCTACCATCCCCAAACAAAGGATTATTTACACACATCTGCATCCCAAACGGAACTTCCTGGTGCTGGTTAGACCTGCTGAATTATGATTCATGAAACAGTTTGCTAAACTTAATGGAGTTGCTTAACCTTGCACTAAAATCCTGCCTGTGCAAACAAAGTTCAAATTGTTTCATGCAATAAAAAGCACATACGCAGGGCAACAAATAAAATACAACAACACCTATTCGAGATCTGCTACTTTTTAAGTAAAGCCAGACATATCGGGGTGAAACCGAAACTCGGGGAAAACCGGAACGGCGTTAAACCAAAAGTGACCCTGAGGATGTGGCGGATTTACCAAACTCCTTTGGTTTCTGCCCAACGCTGCCGCTCTGCCCTGCAGCACCAGCAGCGGGGCACGAAGGCTGCCCCGCACACCGGGGTGTTCCCGCATCGCCGGCTGGCACCGCCGGGATGTCCCCGCAGCCCGGGATGTCCCGTACACAGAGATGTCCCCGCAGCCCGGGATGAGCCCACACCCTCACGGTGTCCCCGCAGCCCGGGGCTGTCCCCGCACACCGGGATGTCCCTCACGGTGTCCCCCCTGCAGCCCGGGGCTGTCCCCGCACACCGGGATGTCCCTCACGGTGTCCCCGCACACCGGGATGTCCTTCCCGGTGTCCCCGCATCCTCACGGTGTCCCGCCCGCAGCCCGGCCCGCCCCGCTCGGCCCCGCAGGCCCCGCCGGGCGCGGGCGGCCCGGGCCTCACCTTGTTGTGCGCTCCGGTGTGGCGGATGACGTTGCGCAGCAGCACCTTCCCCACGGGCACGCGGGACATGCTGCGGGCGCTGCCGCGGGCCGGCCCGGGCTCGGTGCCGGGGCTGGCGCTGTTTGTGGCGGCGGGGCCGGGCCGGGCCGGGCCGGGCCGGGCGGGGGACGCGGAAACGCGCGGGGCCGCGCGCGCGCCGCTTCCGGCGCCGTCTCCGGGGCAACGGCGCCGCCATGGCCGTGAGGGCCGTGAGGGCTCCGGGCGGCCTGAACGGAGGCGAACGGCCCCGAACCGCCCCGAACGAACCCGGACCGCCCCGAACGGAACCGAACCAGCCCGAATGGACCCGGTACCGCCCCGGTACCGCCCGGCCCGGCACCGGATCCAGCCCCGCGCTGCTCCCCCTGGCTCCGACCGCCTGGCCCCCGGTGGCTGCTTGAAAGAAATTCTTTTTGGGGAAAAAATACCCCAAACTAACGCAGAAATTGCCAGAAACACTGTGGCTGGGTAATGCTGCAAACGATAGAACTCGTTAGTAGTTTGAATCAATTACTTAACTAATAAAATTTAAGTAATGGGTAGAATTCAATTTTAAGTAATGGCTCAAATTCAATTTTAAGGAATGGCTTAAATTCAACTTCAAGTAATGGTTTAAATTTAAGTAATGTTTTAAATAACATTTTAAATAATAGTTTTAATAAATTGAGTCTTATTTATAATTTATTTTTAATTGCCTTTTAATTAATTGTTTTCCATAATTGTGGATATGCTTAGCCAGCATTTAGCAAAGCTGTTGTAAGATACATCTGCACAAACACAGCTTGGGAAAACGACTGAAACTTCTTGAAATTTTGGCAGATTTCACAACAAAAGCTCAAAGTGAAAATCTTTGGTAGGAGTGTGGTTAAGGGCATTTTTAATTCCCTTTTTACTCATGAGGTGAATATCTGAAATGCCTTTAGAGATGCAAGCAGGAAAGGAAGGCTGGAGGAATAGCACAAAAATGAGTAAAGACTGTAAATATTCAAAGAATAGTTGAATATTGAGTTACAGAATTTGTTATGTGCTGTAGTAAAGAACCACCAGTGCCCACATGCTTTACTGAAGGGACAGCAGGAACAGTGGTGATGTGTTTTTGTTAAATAAATAAATGGACAGGATGCCATGGTTAGAGCAGCTCTCTTCACGTATTTAATGCTGGAACAACCTGTCCCACACAGCCCCACGGGTGAGCAGAGCTGAGAGGAAGCTGCAGACAGCAAAAAGCAAAAGATCTGTGATTAAATCTCAGGTTAACAGGGTGAGAGGCTGCAGAGCACTGAGCCACAGCAGCAAAGCCACACACAGCTGAAGAGAAAAGCACTGGGACATGGTTTAGTAGTTGTCAATTCCCAACATTTAATGGAACATGGGTTCACTAGAGCCAGTCTGGAATCAGGGTATTTCAGGTCATTCAAGAAAATCCAAAATCTTAATGCACTCTTTTTTTTTTTTTTGCGCTTAAGCAAGGCATCACAGCAACCAGACACTAAACAGTTCCCACAAAAATATTTAATTTCCACAGTATTTTCTTTCAGTATCTTTAGTGAATGATGTAGAATTTTACAGGAGACAGTACTTAATGCAATATACAGAATAACAGGATCAGCCTGAACAACTTCTTCCTTTTTTTTCCAACTCTGCCCCCCTATTTAATTCTCCTGGTCACTCTGTCATTACTGCACGTGTGTCCTTTTTTTACACGAACATTTCCATGTGGAAAGTGGAATTTCAGAATGTTCAGCACTGCAGCCCTCGCAGGATACAATGCCTGGGGTAACTGGACACGAGTCCAACAGACTAGAGAAGCACCTTACATACAATATGTACATGGAGAGCACATTCTGCAGCTTCACTGGGGCTGGACAACAGGGACAATCCAGGGAAGGTCTGCGATTCCAGTGGATAAAGTCAGAGCTTCCTGTGTTAGAACGCCTGAAATGAAAAATCCCAAACACCCCAGTCCTCACATGATTCCCTTCCCCTGCTGGGGTTATCAGCGTGTGTGATTTGCCTACACTGCCTTCCAACACACGCTGAACATTCTGCAAACCAGTGACTTCCATGGCACCAGAGCCCAGGTTAGCTCAGCCACAGGAACAGCAGCTGCAGGGGTCCCACAGCAGAAGCAGATGGCAGTGAGAGTCCATGGGAGACGCACAGCATGTTGTTTGGTGCCCCAGAGCTGGGACCCACAGCCAGCAGAGCTCCTTCACCTCAAAGTGCTCAGGGAGCTCAGAAGGTCCCGGCCAGAGCCAAATTCCAAACAGGAATTTTGGAACAGCAGTGCTGGCCTCTGAGACTGTCCCCAGCCCTGCTGTGCCACCTCCCAGCCCAGAATGGGGCAGTTCCCTCCTCTTGTCCCTTCTGTGGCCATCGCACCTGCGCTCCTGGCGAGAGATGTTTGAAACTCCAGGCTCTGACGACACCGAGGTCATGAAAGAAAATGTTGGTGTGCAGCCCCTGGGCACCCGAGTTCAGAAGCAGCTGGCACAATGCCAGGATAATTTTGTTTTATTTAAAATCTGGGATGCTTAACTCTGTTTTGGAAGAGTTTGCAAGTTAACTAACTGTATAAAAATACAGTGTAGCTGTAATATTGCTCTGAAAAGCACTTTTGCAAACTTTTTTTTCTGTACAGACTGGTAAATAACATTACCAGATAATATAATACATTTTTTTAAATAAAAAAAGGAACTCTCTCAAAGTCTGAACACTAAAGTCTAAATAGCTTGTTTAAAACACAACAGTGTGACCCATGAAAATTCTGCTTTGCATGGTTAAATTATAGCAGCATGGTTACTGGCTTTTCAAGGAAGTTCTTGAACTCAGCAAGCCACTGTGCTCCAACTGCTCCATCCACAACACGGTGATCACAGCTCAGGGTGACAGACATCACGCTGGCCACGTCAAAGCTGGGAGAAAAACAACAAACAAAGGGTTAACACACCCCTCTGCAAGGCAGTGCCACTTACAGAGCAGGAAAGCTACTGGGAGAGCCAGGAATAGCAGCTGGTGCCTGGTGACAGATGTTTCCCCCAGCTGCACTGGGGAGCAGATCATGTTCATTCCTTCTCTAGGAAAACCAAGGAAGGAACTTCCCAGAGGCACTAAGAACACCTCTGTGTGCTCCCCTGAGGGCAGGGAGCTCAGCTCTCCTTGCCCCCACACAAAGGAAAAGAACCATTTTAGCTCCAAGCAAGGGGATATTAATACAGGATCCATCCTTGAGGATTTCCTGAAGTGCAAACTGAAGCAAGTACTGAAAGCACTGTGTCAACAATACATTTTAAGGTTTTTAAAATTATTATCTAATGTAGGTGTTAGGAAACTAGGCATGACTTCAGAGTTTGAGTCCAGGATCAGATGGAAACTCACCCTTTCTCATTATCAGCTGGCACTAGTATTTCTTTTGAGGAACCCACTGCCAGGATGCAGGCTTGAGGTGGATTGATTATAGCAGAGAAATTCTTAATCCCATACATTCCTAAATTGGAAATTGTGAAAGTACCACCCTGAAAGAAAACAAACACATTCAGGGGCAAACTCACAAAAAGTGGGAACATGAGGAGAGGGGGGACCTCATTCCAGTCTGCAGCTTCCTGAGGAGGGGAGGCTCTTTGGTGAGCAGGGACAGGATCCAGGGAGAGCTGGGGAATCTGAGTTGGAGATTAGGGAAAGGCTCTTCCCCACACAGGGTGCTGGCACTGCCCAGGCTCCCCAGGGAATGGGCACAGCCCCGAGGCTGCCAGAGCTCCAGGAGGGTTGGACAGCACTCCAGGGATGCCCAGGGTGGGATTTGGGGTGTCAGTGCAGCGCCAGGGGCTGCATTCCATGACTCTTGTGGGTCCTTCCCACTCAGGACATTCTGTGACTACTGAACAAGGCTCAAACATCACAAACCAGCCTTTGCTCCTTTCAGACAAGTCAAGAGCAGCAGAGTTTAACACCACCTGGGGTGTCTGACCTGGAATTCGTGAGGCTGCAGCTTGCCCTCCCGGGCTCTGGCTGCCAGGGAAGCCACGTCCTTGCTGATGGTAGCCAGGCCCTTGATGTGGGCGTTGAACACGATGGGGGTGATGAGCCCTGCGGGGGTGCTGACAGCCACACTCATGTCCACCACATGATTCCTGCAACACACACAGCAGCTGAAACACCTCCAGCAAGGCAGCAAACAGGAACAATAAAAACAGGCCAGACAACCCAAAATTAACATCAATTTGTGACAATTATTTCACCTTTTCCATCAGCCTTAGACTCGAAGATTTTATCACTTTAACAAAACCTCTCACCTTCACATCGTATTTTTCCCCTCCCTCAAATCCCAGAAGTTCTGTTTTGCCATGAACAAAGGAAGTTTCTGGCTGTGACCATGCCATAAACTTACTGCCTAATAACTGTGTCCATCCATGAAGAATTTGCCTCAGGCACTTTCAAGCATGCCAACGCAGAAGCTTTAATGATGAAATCATTGACAGAAAGCTTAATGTTCTCCGAGACCTCCTGCAAATGAAGAGATCCCAGGTGTCACTTTGTCCCCTGCACATCCCCCCAGTTAACAAGGGCAGTCACTGCAGTTCACAGGAAACATCAGAAAACAATTACACCACTTGTAAGCATTGAAATTCAAGGATAATTTAGAAGGTGAAAGTATTTCCTTTGTAATTTAAGAACGTAGGTTTTGTTAATGTTTAGTTTTTCTCAAACTTAGCTTGGAATTATTATTCTGCCTATTTCTTTTACCTTTCTTTTTATTAAAAATCTTTCTATCCTTTTATTTTCCACCTGAAATAATGAATCACCACCAAGCAGAGCTCAGAACAGCCCCTTAGGGAAGTCAGGAAGGAGCAGATATGAGGAAAATCTCATTCTATCACAGACAGTCCAGAACTGACCCACAAAAAGCACTGACAAGAATGGTTTTTTCCCAAGGCAAGACGCCAGAACTCACCTGATTGAGCTCCTTCCTTAGCACCAGGACTTTCCCCATGTTGACATCGATGGACAGGTAGTAGTGAGGTATTGTTTGTTTGGACTGCATCAGCCTCTGAGCAATGACCTGGGGTGTGCAGAGCAAGAGCACAGATCAGCC